TGGAAGGCTGTGGAAAGGGATAAACTGGGAGTTCAAGACTTGCAGATATTAACCACTGTATATAAAATAGATACACAATAAGTTTATACTGTATAACACAGGGAACTATATTCAATATCTCGTAATAACCTTTAATGAAAAAGAATATGAAAACAAACATATGTATGCACAAGTATGACTGAAACATTATGCTGTACACCAGAAATTGACATAGTATTGTAAACTGACTATACTTCAATTTAAAAAAAAATCTAAAAAAAGTTAATAAAGTGAGGGGAAAGAAAAAAACTCCTTTTTAAAGCTTCAAGTAAAGTCTCAAGAAAAAAAAAGGATATGCAAGTCAAAGGGAAGATTCAAAGGAAGTTCAAGAAAAAAAAAACTCAAGAATTTCACAAGTAAAGAAAAAGGAACCCTCCTACAGTGTTGATGGGAATGTAAGTTGGTGCAGCCACTATGGAAAACAGTATGGAGGTTTCTTAAAAAAACTAAAAATAGATTTACCATATGATCCAGCAATCCCACTCCTGGGCATATATCTGGATAAAACTATAATTTGAAAAGACACATGCACCCCAATGTTCACAGGGGCACTATTTACAATAGCCAAGACATGGAAACAACCTAAATGTCCATTGACAGATGAACGGATAAAGAAGGGGTGTGTGTGTGTGTGTGTGTGTGTGTGTGTGTGTGTGTGTGTGTACAATGGAATATTACTCAGCCATAAAAAAGAAATAATGCCATTTGCAGCAACATGGATGGATCTAGAGATTATCATATTAAGTGAAGTAAGTTAGACAGAGACAGACAAATATCATATGTCATTTATATGAGGAATCTTAAAAAAATACAAATTTTATTTACAAACCAGAAATAGATTCACAGACATAGAAAGCAAACTGTGGTTACCAGTGGGTAAAGTGGGGGTGGAGGGACCGTTTACAAGTTTGGGATTAACAGATATACATCACTATATATAAAATGAACAAAAAGGACCTACTATATAGCACAGTGAACGATAGTCAATTTCTTATAATAAGCTGTAATGGAAAAGAATCTGTATTCTAAGGTGTAATGGTAAAGAATATGTATATGTATAACTGAATTGCTTTGCTGTACCTGAAACTAACGTTGTAAATTGACTACATTTCAATAAAAAATTTTTTTAAATTTCACAAGTAGAAAAAAAATCTGCAGTTCCCATTTCTAAAATCAGTTGACAGTACTGAATTACCAAAGATGACAATCCAATCTCTAGAATAAGAGGAAAATAATGAAGAAGCTATATTTTGCACAAAAACTTAAATGGCCAAATAAAGACAAAGTGGCTGAAAGTGGAAGCCACTGGAGAAACAAAAATGCAGAACTAAATGTGGAAAAGGAAGCAGTTTTATCTGGAAAGAAAAGATTCAAGAATATATATTCATTCATTCATTCATTCATTCATTCATATGTGCATGGGGTCAAAGAAGAAATTATTTCTCTAAACCCAGAATTGAGGAGGAAGAAAAAACATCCAGGGCACCTGAACAAGTAGATCAATGAAATCTAAACTGTGGATATATACATTCTCAAAAACAAGAAAAGTACTTATGAGAAGAAAAACAAGTATTTTATTAGAAGCTGATGCCAGAGGTAAGTGAAAGGACAGATGAGAAAAGCAGAGATATTAATAGGAAAAAAAAGTTCTGAAATACAGAAGAAACAGCATCATATAAGAAGAAAAAAAGAGCAGAATACATATTTTTAAAAGCACTTAATAGACTCTGAGTACATAAATGTCTAGAAAAGACAGTAAATTGCAACCTTTGGTTATCTTCGGGAATAGACTCCTGCAGGCTTTCTCTATTTACTTTGCATGTATTTTAACCCGAATAATTATAATACAACTTGGCTGAAAAGTTTTTAAGAGAAAAAGTATTACAATACAGAGTATTCAGTGCAATCCTATGATAAGTGCAAAGACAGCCCCATAATATATAGGAAAGTACAGAGGAAGGGAACCCATGGGGGTGGGTTGTTAAATCTTTCTAGAGGAGGTAACAGGTGCTGAATATAAAGAAAATAGGGCATTACAATAATAATAGCGTGTCTTACCTTCACTGATTTACAGTAAGTAAAGCAAAAACATATATCTGTTTCCCAATCTGGCCCAACCAGCTTCCTCTCATTCTATGGTGTCGTTGGCCCGTTTCTAGGCTACCTGGAATCCATGTTACCTTTGCAGGTAATTTTGCTCGGTCTCCCCCAACCACTCTGTGAGCTTCTGGGGGAAAAAATCAAATTCAGATCCATTTCTACTTTCCCAGAACTCTGCCTGGCCCTGAAGAGCCCCATATATGTTTATACTGAATTATCCTGAATTAAAGGAAAGGAGGCATTTCAATCCATAAACACGAGTTTAATGAGCCTTTGGGGCCCTGCAAGGAAGAAACAATCAAACGGAATCCATTCCTGAAGTAAAAAGGGACAGACACGCCTGGCGACTTGGAATGCGGTGGGCGAGTGCCAAGGAGACTCAAAGAAGGGCTGAAAGCAGGAGGGTCAATCCTTTTCTGCCGGGATCAGCGGAAGTGCCCCGACGTCCCCGGCGCCGAGGGCGACGCCAGCACGGGGGCGCAGGTCATAAGAGGGAGCAGGTAGGGCTCTCGGTCTACTCACGCCCGGGCAGCCGCCAGCTCTTCCTGCTGGATCTCGGCCGGGAACGCCGCCCAGCCTTGCTGGACACGGCTGGACCTGACGCAGCGGAAAACCAGAGCTGGAACTACTCCGGACCGAACAAGGAACTGGAGGAGAACATCGGACGCATCACGAAGCAGCTTCCAAGGCAAGCAGGCTGGAAACCTCTGTGCGCTTCCGTCCTGCCAGGGGCGTGCAGCCCAAACCGAACTTCGTGCTCCAGAAGCCTCAGCCCCTACAACTTCACAGAGGCACATGCGTGTCTCTTCAGATAGTAAACTCACCCTCGTTGGGGCAAACAGCCCACATGGCGCTGGGTGGCAGTTACGTGCGGCAGGCCTGGACCCCATGGGCGTGGCCGCTGAGTACATTTGCTCCACTGAAAGCCGGACTGTGGACCCTCGGGCGCCGCAGAGACCAAACCTACTTCCGCTTCAGCTGCCAATAGGCCCCCTGACACAGCTCAAAAAACTGCCCGCGACTACCCTCCCAACACCCCAGTAGCGCAAGACTCCCAGGGGTAGGGGGCAGGGGGCAAGGACACCCAGCCCCTGCGGACCTGGAGCCGGATTCACCTACGAAAGCTGGAAGCGCTTTAGTCAGTTACAAATGTAAAACATGAAGTCGTTAGGAAAAACCATTTTAATCAGGACATCCAACCCAGAAGCTACAAGTAAAACTAGTGTTATTTTTTAAAATGCAGCTTATGTATGACAAACACATTCGAAAATCCCTTTCAAACCCGTCTTTTTTTTTTTTTTTTTAATTTTGGAGTTGGGCCAGGTTTTTTTGTTTTTTGTTTTTTGTTTTTTTGCTTCTCCCAGTGAAACTTTTTAAAAATTATTTAGGGGAATCACCAGAGGAAAATTACCAAAAATTTCCGTTTCTCTTATCTGAAATCTCTTACCTAAAGCAGGTCAAGCCCACCGTAGCCCGGTCTTAGTTTTAGATTATCATAGTTTGTCGGTAGCTAACAGGCTCCCCATTGGCACCTCCTCGCCTTTTGTAAACAAATTTCAACTGTCAACAACTGAAAATACTTCAGAGAGCTTTTACGTCCTTGAACTTCCTGTTATCCTGAGCCAAAAACTTCTTTTAATTTCAATGGCCTTTGTTCTATTGCATTACACTCTCAATATTTGAAAAGAACGTACCCTGCCCACCAAAGACCACCGAGCAAGAATGTAAAATAATTTTACTTTCCCCAGTCCCTTTGAAGGGGAAAAGGAATAGAAGGGGAACAAGTTTATTTCACGACTTTACAAAAATCATTCCAAACTTTCCCAAGGTAAGCTCTCCTTGCAATTTGTCAAAATACACGTTACCCTGCTTTAAGAAATAGCGCCCGAACCTACTTCAACAGCGTATTGCAAGAGAGTAAAAATTCCTGCCTGGCCGGTTGCTTCCGCCAAGACACAGACTACTGCACACGAAGTTCTCATCAACTTTGCAAAGGAAGACTGCCAAATCTTTTGAACAGGTCAATCCCGGAATTGAGCAACTCTCAGGATATTCTTAAGCAAAGTTTACAGGACGCTGGGGACTTGCCACCAAAGCTTGCGGCCCTCTTTCAGTCCTCTCTCTGGGGCTTCAGTATTGGGGACCAGTTACTGTGGCTCTAGGCGATCCTGCGCAGGGGCCGCACCTGGGATCCCGTAAGAGTAAAGCTAACCCCCCCGAGAATCCGGGGCGGAGGCGAGCGGGGGCGGGGCACTACCCCCCCCCCCACCCTGGGGCCCGGGAGCAAACCGCAGATAAGAGATCTATAGGACTGAGTCACCAGCCAGAAGGCCCACCCCTCCCCTGGCCCCCGGTGGGCATCCCCCGCCCGGGCTGCGGGAAGAGTCCAGGAACCGCGGCGAGGAACGCGAGAGGCAGCGTGCAGGGCCTGGCGTCTGGCTGGGGTCTGGGGAGGGTGAGGAGCTGCGGGACCCAGCGCGGGCACGTACCGTCCTGCCCGCGGCGAGAGACTCTCCTCTGGCTGCGACCCGTCAGACTTCACTCCCCTGGACGCCTGAAAATGCAGGCAAGATGGAGGCAGAGAAACCGAAAGTCTGAAAGCGGACGTGGCTTTCCTGCCCAGCCCCGAATCCGGTCGCCTTGCTTATCCTGGACTTCTCTCTCATCCCACAAAAACTTTCATCCTACAGAAGTTTGATGGTCTGACATTCACTGTTTTAGACCCAGAAACCCCACTCACCACTCACCCCAATGAGTCCCTCTGAGTTGAAACACTCGTCTGTGCTACAGCCCGCCTGCCCGCTGTTTCCTGTTTATATGACTGATAGAACTTCTGGATTGGATAGTGGTTTAAAGTACGCAGCTCGATGAGCAAGCACCCCCTAGGCTTTTCACAATGTGAGGGAAAAACAGTAAGTAGCAAATGTAAAAGTGCTTTATGCTTTATTCCTCAGTTTCTTGTGACTTTTTAAAATTTCTTAACTTTTCTTGAAATATATTTAAACTTACAAGAAAGCTGCAAAAATAATACCAAGAGAAGTTGACCACCGGCCTGACAGCATGGGGAGCTCTGCTGACGCACTTCCCAGTGAAACTGATGAAAATTGTTTTAAGACAAGAAAACAATAACAATTTAAAGCCTAAGGAATTAGTCCTAAGAGAAAAGAGCAAATAAAGAAGTATCTATTCTAGGAAAAAATGGTAAGAAATGCAGGAATCTGTGGTGTTTCAACAAAGATCTCTTCTTCCTGTGCCTTCCTAGTTCTGCAAAGCAGAGACCCCACTCTGCCTTGAAACAGGAAACACTCGGCCTCCTCTCCCCAGGCTCCCAGAGGGAGGGGCAGATGTCACCAGTTCTCACTCTGCCTGTTATTACCTGATACTGAGGCTAAGTCCTGGGTGAAGTGGCTGACAGATGGAGGATTCTTTCTTTCAAACAGCTCCCCTCATGGAACAGAGGCTCTTCCTTGGGCTGGTGAGCTGACAATACTGGGGTCCTAATTACCCTTACCCCTGCTCCTGAAGCAGTGGTTCTGTGAAGGAAAAGCTGGGCTGGTCTAACAAGATAACTCACAGGTCTAGGAATGTGAAGGAGAGGCTGGGCTGGGCTAACAAGATAACTCACAAGTCTAAGTATTGGAATACTGATCTGAGTTCTGCTAGACTAACTTGTAAATCTAGGTTAATTAGTGTTGGTTTGCTGTTCATGTTTTTTAGCTAGCCAGCTGGGTTTTCAAAGATACATATCTGGCTTTGGAATGTTGGTTTGCTGCCCCCCCACCTCTACTTTTGTGATGATAATGCTGCTAAAGCTGTTCCATGCCTATTGGCCTAATACCCCAAGCTTGTACTTTACCCTATAAAACCTCATGCGCACGTCTTGGAGGTGCTCAGAGCTTCGGAGCAGAAGCCCCTCTGAGCCCACCGGCGTAATACATCTGAGTACTCCAACCCTCCGAGTGGTGCTTGTTTCTTGACTGGCCTGTCATTTCTGTAACAGTTCAAGCCAGAAGAGAAGCGCCAAGAGG